TCCCTTCACAGCCCATCTCCTCCAGCTTTGGTTTTCCAGGAGGTTGGAGGCAGCTCCTGCTGGAGCTGCTCCTCAGGGAATTGTGCTTGCACCAGAGACTGGGAGGTCTGCTGTGCACAAACATGGCTCCTTGTCCCACCACGGCTTACCTGGACTGGAAAGTAGTCCCGGAAATACTTCCACACGGGCCATCTCCGCAGGCATGCCAGCCTCCTCCCGCCTGCGAACAGACACCGGCGGCGGTGAGCAAACCCACCCAGGGTCCCGCAAAACAACCTGCAGCACAGCCTGCTTTGCTACCGAGGTGGAATCTGCAGGTGGAGGAAGGGCCCATTGTGGTGGTGGGAGAGAGGTCTGTCATGGAATGGGATGGTCAGGGAGGAGAAGACCCGAGGAGCAAACAAGGTGTAGCACGTTCGCTCCAACGTGCTGCATGGAGACCCTGTGATGCATCATCCACACTGATGTCCCCAAACCTGCCTTTACCACGAGCACAATTAGCTGTTCACATGGGTCCTTGCCCCACACCCAGCAAGCTGCAGATGCAGATCAACACAAAGGCTTTGACATAGTCACTGGCACCAATTACCCCAACACTGTCCCTCTGTGTTGGTCCCACCACCATGTCCCTGGCAACCTGGGGGTAACTCTGTGGGGAAATGTGACGCCCACATTTCCCGGGGACATCTGCACGCTGCTGCCAAGACCCCAGGACAGGGGCTGCGTCTGTCCCTACCTTTTTCCGGCGTGTCCCGGTCAAAGATGACCCAGGCCAGGTAGAGGGCGGAAATGGGCCAGAAGCTGGTGAACACCAGGTAGATGAGCACGAGGAGACTGACCACCCCTGCGGGGCAGGAGAGCAGTGAGCGGGCACCCGTCCAGCTCGCGGGGTCCCTTCCTTGGGGACACCAGCACCCGGGCACGACTTCCCCAGGTCCCAATAAAACCCAGCAAACGCAGCGGTGAAGGCATGAAACCATTTTTCTTCTCGTGAGATGGGATGAATCTCAGCTGGAGGCAACGTGGAGCGCGTGCTGAAACTGCCCCGTTCCCAGGCGGCCTCCGAACAGGAGCACATCCCCTTGGCCACACTCACCCAGGACCAGGAAGCTGAGGACCCACTGGAGGACGGCGAGGAGCTGCAGGCAGGAGCGGACGTCGCGCTGCGAGGGCCACGGCGCCGTGAGCAGGGTGCGGAGGGCAGCGCGGACGCTGCTGCGGCTCCCTGCGGGGCACGGACACCCGCTGGCCCCGGCTCCTG